TCTTCCTGTGTTGCCTAGACTGGTCTTGAACTGGGCTTACGCAATCCTCCCGCCTTGGCCTTCCAGAGTGCTGAGATTACAGGTGTGAGCCACTGCATCTGGCCCTGTTTTAGAAATTACTGTGTCTGAGTAATTTCTTATATTTTGGCAAATATAACCAACCTTGGCCTATTTCATTTTCCATATCACCCGTATCATGAGGAGATCTGGTGACCCTACCTACAACCTCCTTAAAAAAAGTTGAATTTGGAATTTGACTTTTGCCCTGGTACAAAGTAGGGAAAAGAGAAGAAAGCAAAGAAATCTAGGGTCTGCTTTGTTTCAGTTACCGTGTTTCCCATGCATTATTTGGTACAATCCTTATAATATGCCTGTAAGGTAAGTGTTATTACTCTCCACTCTGTGAGGTGGGGAAACTGAGGTTCAGAGAGCTAATGAATTTGCCAGAACTTATAAAGACAAGACTTAGGGCATTCATTTCTAAAGAGATATTTTAAAAAGAAGTCAAGTTACATTTCCTGAGGTGAAGTTTACAGAATTTTATTAATATTATAACATCTTTCACTTTTGGACAGAATTCTAATAAACTGCCATCAAATCTTTCATTAGGAATTCTTTAGAGAGTTTTTTTAGTTACGTGTACTGGGAAAACACTTCTAAAGTATATTTTGGACCTTTGACAAGGATTTTGCAAGGTACGTGTGTTAATTAACTCTAACAATAAGGATTGGAACCTCAACATATTTTTAAGTTGAATTATTTAACTACACTTAAAGTAACTCATTAAATGAACGGCCTTTTCCACCAAACACTTGCCATTATGGCATATTTTTCCTTTTTTTTTTTTTAAGCATATTTGCCATGAAGGCAAGAATTAACAAGAATTGAGTGTTCTTCCTTACTGTGGTAAACTGGGAAATGATTATATTGTTAATAGCCATTGTGTATTTGTCCGTTGCCAACATTTTATTTAATTAAAGCCATATATCTAAACTCTGGCTACCTAGCGGACCGCCCAGTGGTCAAACAAAGAGGCTTCAGATAATGCTTTCTTCTGCAGCAACCTGATTGGTTTCTTTCATGAAGAAAATGAAATTTCAACTGATATTAGTAAAAGAATTTGAGAATTGAATCTTATGGGTTTTAAAACTGTTATATTAAATGCTGCAGATGGCAGACTATTAAAGGCATTTAGGATTTGATTCATTTATTTTCAATTAAATTATAATAGTAGTAATACAAAATATAAGAGTGATAGTAATACAAAGTAACCTGTCTAGCAGAGAGAACAATTCAAATGCAAAGCAATATCCTGGGTTTGAGTCTCTTGTTTTATCTTTTATTAAAGTTTATTTCTTCTGAAATCGAAAAGATTCTTAAATATAAATATAAAAAATCTATTCATACAGATTTTCTTATTCAAGAAGCCTGCTTGTTTAGGCATGTCAGTGGCCAAAGGGTGCTGTCAGCTTTATGGGAAAATCAGTGTTCTTCAACTATATCTGCATATTAAAAGCACCTGATTTAATTTCTTACCGCCTTTTGTTTCAACAGTGACTAAACTTTAAGTACTAAGTGAGGTGCTCAATAGAATGTAGAGAATATATGGCTTATATCCTAGACAGATTCCTTAAGTTCTGGCACAGTGGTTGATGAGAAGATGTTTGAGGTCCAAATGGTGTCGGGTTTAAATTCACTCCAGCACTTATTAACTCCATGGGCTTTTTAACTCTTCAAAGCCCTTGTTTTCTCTAATTCAAGATGAGGACAAGAAATATCTATGTCATGTGAGGATTAAATAAAATTAACAAATATGGAGGAATGTATGATAGTACCTTGCATAGGGTTTGGAGTTCAGTAATGACAACTACCATTTTAATGGTATATTGATACAGGTCTGTTAACACCGTAGGATATCCTGATAATGAAACAATCAGTCAATAATTTTTATTCTTTAAAAACCTCATAAAAATGTTTTTAAAAAGTCTAATTTTTGTGAAAAACTACACTGAAACATAGAACTTGATGCAGCCAAGGTCTTTGAGGTTAGCCCAACTCTCATGAAAACGAAGAATCTAGTGTAGAGAGAGAAATGTACCCAAGACAACATTTCATATGCTTAGCAAGTATTTACTGAGTACCAACTGGATGCTGGGGATGAGGAAATAATGGTTTCCATTTTAAAGGATACTGTTAAGTATAGTTGTAGAGTCATGGGCTATGACAGGTAATTCCAGGACAGCTTCTCTACTCTTGTAAAGATTAATGCAGAGGGAGCAGAGAATAGGGGTTGATTGTGCTGGCGGTGGGTGGGAAGAAAGAAGCTTCTGAAGACAGCTGTCAGAGAAGGTAACACAGAGGAAATGTTAAAACTTGAAGGAAGGGAAGGAGATTAGAGAGTTGAGAGGGGATAGAAGGAAAGATATTTCAGGCATGGAACATGGTATGTTCCAAAGCATTGTGAAATGAGACATTCCAGGAACATGACTGGTTTCTTAAAGGGGCTGGAGTGTGTAGAGTATGAACATACTTATGAGTATGGAATATGAATATTCATTTCCCCCATGGGATGAGAAATGGAGCTGAATGGGAGCATTAGACTAGAAATGGCCAGATTGGAAAGGGCTTCGTATGCCAAATTAAAGAGTTTGATTGTATCTGGCAGGCGATAAAGAATTGATGGGCTTCCAACAGAGGAGAGTCAGGATCAGATTTTTTTCTTAGAAAGCTCATCTTGGCAGCATAGAGGAAACATTTGAAAAGGGAAGGACTTGGAAGGGAGGGGAGCAGGTAGGAGGCTACTGCCCTGTTTCAGCCCATGCAGAGATAATCAGGAGATGGACTTGGTGACCAGGTAAATGTAGGAAATGTGAAGAGTGTAGATCTCTGGTTCAGGTACTGGTTAGAATCAGAATTGTATCTTGAGACCTAGTATCCTGATACAGAGCGTGGTATTTTTTCTATTACATATTGCCTTTCTTTATTGCCCCACTCCCCCCATCAATGTAGGGAAAAAAATAAACATAATGTGGTAGAATAATACAAAAATAAAGGACCACCAAAGTGATGGACCCAGACTGTGCCATGATGATAGCTTATTGTGCAATAGCTTTCTTTTGTTTATATACAATTCATATGCTATCTACTCCTAAAGGAAAAATAATTATCCTGCACATTTATCTCCTAAAACTAATTTAGAATTTTACATGAGTTTTTAAGCCAAAAGAGAGGGAATGGTTGTACTGTATTTATTTTTTAGATTTATCTTCCCTGGTAATGGAATTGGGTAGGGTTTTAAAATTTATTATTGTCTCGAAACAACTAAATACGCTGTCTGTAAAGTTTTAATATACTTCTTATACTGTACTCAAAATCAGAAAGCTGAAGTTTAAGTCCTCTCTTTCAGACATTTCCGCTGGCTTTTTGGCCTGGGCATAGACCGCCCATCCTGACTTCAGCTTTCTCATTTATAAAGTAAGGATGATTCCTGGCATACTGACCTTCTGGGGTTATACTTAGAGGTAAAAGCTATTAATATAACATGATTATATTAAAAAAGCCAGAAGTTGGTGAAAGAGGGAGGGTCTTCAAGTACATTTGTCTATTAGCAAGTTTTCTCTTGATGGAAGCATTATTTGGATAACTTATGTTTCATAAATTAGAAATTTTTAAGTCCAGGCTTCTGACATCAACCCAATATGCAAAAAATCATTATTTTTAGTTGAAATCATGTTTGGAACCTTTTGAAGGGAGAAAAAATTCTTGCAGATCTCCAGTGCCAACATCTGTTTTTTTGAGACTGAGTTTCATTCTTGTTGCCCAGGCTGGAGTGCAATGGCATGATCCTGGCTCACTGCAACTTATGCCTCTGGGGTTCAAGCAGTTCTCCTGCCTCAGCCTCCCAAGTAATGGGGGTTACAGCACATGCCCCACTAATTGTTTTGTATTTTTAGTAGAGATGGGGTTTTGCTATGTTGGCCAGGCTGCTCTTGAACTCCTGTCCTCAGGTGATCTGTCTGTCTTGGCCTCCCAAAGTTCTGGGATTACAGGTGTGAGCCACCATGCCTGGCCAATGTCATTTATTTATTTTTTATTTTATTATTTATTTATTTATTGAGATGGAGTCTCGCGTTGTTGCCAGGCTGAAGTGCAATGGCACAATCTCGGCTCACTGCAACCTCTGCGTCCCGGTTCAAGTGATTCTTCTGCTTCAGCCTCCCAAGTAGCTGGGACTACAAGTGCACACCACCACGACCGGCTAATTTTTGTACTTTTAGTAGACATAGGGATTCACCATGTTGACCAGGATGGTCTGGATCTCTTGACCTGGTGATCCGCCCACCTTGGCCTCCCAAGGTGCTGGGATTACAGGTGTGAACCACCATGCCCGGCCTATTTATTTTTATTATACTACCTAAATATGTACTAACATAAAACACTCCTGATGCTTATAGCTCTCATACATCCACAAAGCCAAACAGATTTTACAAAAGAAAAATAAACAAAACTACCCCCCAAAATCAATAACATGCACATTGACAACATTGATTTCATACGACTTGATATTATTTGCCTGAGACTGAATTCCCTCTTGCAGGGCGAATATGGTACTTGCTGCTGTGGACCTAGGCATGAACACATCATTTGCATGTGAAGTTCTCTATTTTCATTGGTCTGTTATACACCATTGCAATCCTAAAGATAAAACTCAATATTAGCACAGAAAGTGGTGGCGGGATTAGGCTGCATGCAGATCTGGATTTGTTCGTACACTCTTTGTAATGAAGGACTGTTCTTTCTCCTGTCACAGGCAGATATGCGGCTCCATAGCTCCATGCACTGGGTGAAGCTCACTACCTAAGTTTGACCACAGCTGTTCTTGTCCTCTTCAGTGAGATGAACTCACTAGTCACAGTCTTGGATGTGGCAATGTCAAATTGCTATAGTATTTCTAAACACCAACCCTCATTTTCAGTACTGATGTAACCATGGGCAGGTAATAAACAGTTTCTTGACTGGCATGGTCCATAGAGCACATTTCAAATAGCACTGGTTTAAAACATACTTAATATAGCTGGGGTTGGAGATAATGGTTCAGAAGGATGGGTGTGTGTGTGTATGTGTATATACAAATTTACACACTGCTTTTAAGATATGCAAATGAAACATAATTTGTTTCCCATAACTGCTTTTACCTTGCCTTCAAGTTCCCATTCCCACTCTAAAGGAAAACATTTGATCTTGTCAATTAGGAACATGTTAGTCTCTAGTTTAAAAATTCTTTCTGGATTCTCTAATTTCTCAAGGTTTTTCCCTTCCTTTGTTCCCAAGATGACATTTGAGTGAAGGGGGAAGCCTAGTATCCTCACTGCCCTGGGTGAAGGGCGTTGTATTCATTGTATGACCCTCACTGTGTTTACTGCTCTGGACTTGGCACATTTGTGGCTGGGCATTGTGCCCTGGTACCCACTGCAATGAGACTGTTCCTATTTATCTTTTGAATGTTATCTTGGCAGCTCATTTGGGCTTCCTGGACCTTGCTGTTGTGTCTAGTTGTGAGAGCCCTGTGGTATGCGACCTTCTACCCAGGCCTTTTCTAGGTAGTAGTCCTATCAGCATTTCTGTATCTCTCTGTAGCCATAGAGTGCTTAACTGTTTTCTCTGAATCTTGATGGAGTTTGTGTGATCTTGGGAAATGTCCTCAGCTCCACCTGTCTTAGTTACCTTCTGCAGATATTACACTCTGTGGTCCAATGCCATGTTGAATGTGGCATGTGCCAAATAGGGGACCTTCATGCTAGGTGATAAGGGTCATTGGCCACAATGTCTTCTAAATCCCTCAAAGATACCCAGGTGTTAGTTTTTTTCTCTTTTTGTACTCATGAAGTTTTGATTCCTTGAAGAGTATCAGATGCTTACATTTGATCTTTTGCTCCTCCTTCCCTTTTTTCTCTTTCTCTGCTGTTCCATATCTGAAGTAACTTGTGTGTCTTGAAAACTTAAAACTGTAAGGGGCAGGGATCAGGAGGGTGACTGTACGATAAAGGAAGAGGGTGAAAGAAGAGTCCTATTCCTTTATCAGGTGGACTCTTCTCCCTAAGATTTGAACATCAGTAAAGACAGAAAGAGAGAGAAGTGGTCAAACAGCCTAGAGATGACATAGCTTGAGGCTGGCAAGTAGTTTTGACCAGCAACTTCTACTAGTCTTCTTTGCACATAAACTTTTCTCATTTAATAGTTTTACTAGAAATCTGTCCTCCGTATTGCATTGGCAAATTTATGAACACAAGAACTGACATATTTCTTCTTATAGTCAGTATTATAATTGCAATGTGAATTTACTGTTAGCTGTTGATGTCTTGTTAAGGTGTACTTTGTATTTTGAATAAAGACGTTTAGAATAGATCACTAGATATACTCAAAACTTCTTGCGTGAATTTATGTTAGAATTAATAAATCTTTTTACTGTTGAAGTGTTTCTTTTTCACTTTCATTTATTGTCTGAATATAGTCAGTTGAAAATCTGATACACAGTTTGACATCACAAATTACTAGGATTTATGTCTTTTTAAGGCACAGTTAATCATTTGAGAAAGGTACTGAATGTAGTTTTCACCTGTTGATATATTATAAAAACAATGATGATAAAGCAGTAAAAATAATGCAGGACTGGGATAGGTATTTATTTCTTTATTATGGCATATAATCTGTGAATGATTTCCTTATTTCATATCTTCTGATGTCTAATATTTTATCTCCTATTACTGATACTCACAAATTCTATTGCAAACCTCTGAGAGCAATACATTAATATCCTCATGAAATTAAACTTAGTTATAAGGAATTTTCCTCTTTGTGTCAGGATTGTTGACTAAAAAAAAGTGGCCTTTAGAATTCCATTTTCAGATGAATTCAAGTGTTTCTTTTTACATGTATAATTTTCTAGTATGTACAGAGCACATTTTCATTAAATGAAAACCCTGAACAAGGCAATATAAATTTAGTTTCTTTGTTACCATTTCACATTTCCCCCCTATAATTTTAGTTATTGAAAATTTGCCAGGCTAGAATCAGACACCTGTAGTGCTGCATCTGCTGAGAAAGCACCTCATCTGGCTTTGTTAGTGAGCCTGAATGCTGATATACATGTAAGAGTCCTGCCACCAAAGGGTAGCCCTGTTTTTTTTTGTTTTTTTTTTTTGTTTTTTTTGGCTGTTGTTATTGCACACAGTCATGTAAAATGATGAGAAGAGCATTGACTCTGTACTCAATGACTTCATTTACTCAGATCCCTACCCTCCCAGACCCTAATGATCATATTGAAAAAAGAAGGAAGGGCAGTGTATTAATCTGCCCAGGTTTCCACAGTAAAATACTATATGCTTAAACAACAGAAGTTTATTTTTTTACATTCTTGGAGGCTAGAAATTCATGATCAAGGTGTCAGCATTGCTGGTTTCTGGAGAGCTCTGCCTTCAGGTTGCAGATGATTATGTTCTTGCTGTGTGTTCACATGATTTTTTTCTTGGTAAGTGTAGTGCAGAGAGAGTGGGGAGGGGAGTGAAAGCTCTCTGATGTCTCTTCTTATAAGGACACTAATCCTGTTGGGTCAGGGCACACCCTTGTGACTTCATTTAGCCTTAATTACTTCCTTAGAGACCTTTAGTCTCCAAATGCAACCACACAGGGGGTTAGGGAATCAAAGTATGAATTTGGGGGCCACATAAACATTCAGTCCGTAACAGGAAGATTATTTACTGGCATATGTAATATCCTGTGAATTTCATGTTTCAGTGTTTAGAAATTGATCCTTTTGAACAGGTGATGATGGGTCCGTTTTAAAATATGGCTTCCAAAATTTTGGGGGAGAGTTTTCCCCTTGAGTGTCTGTGTCTTCTCCGTTTGAATTGGGCAGGCTTGTGGCTGATTAACCAATAGAAAATGCTGGAGGTGACACTGTATGACTTCTGAGGCTGGTATGCAAAAGTCTATGCAGTTCCCTTTGCTAGCTGGAACACTTGTTCCTGGAATCCTGAGCCACCATGTGGCTCTGATACTCCAACTACACTGAAGCCACAATGCTGTGAGGAAGCCAGTTCACATGGAGATGACATGTATAGGTGCTCTGGTTGACAGTCCTGGTCTTACAATTTTCCCAGTCCAGGCACCAGGCAGCAGACATGTGGTAAAATGACCTTTCAGGTGATGTTAAGCCCCAGTTGTTGAGTCACCCCAAGCTTTGAGTCTTCATAGCTAAGGCCCCAGACATCATGCAGTAGATGCTAGACATGTTCACTGTGTACTGTCTGAATTTATGACCTATGGAATTTATATGCAAAATGAAATTGTTCTTAAAAGGAGGCTATGTTTGGGGATAATTTGTTACACAGCAAGAGTAACTGGAGTAGACATGGTATGGCTCCTTTTTGGATCCCTTATCCCCACTTCTATACTGTCAAGAGCTCATTGTTTATTATCAGCAAAATCCCTTATATCCTCAGCTGCTTCTGTTAACTTCTCTTCACCTTCTTGCTGTAATTGAAACTTAGCTCCCCTGTAGAGAGATTATTATTGGTGATTTCAACATTCACATGAATTGTCCTCCCAATTTCTTGGTTTCTCAGTTCTGTGCTCTCCTGTCATTCAGTTATTATATGTGGCTATACCTGGACTCCTCACTACCGTGGCCATACCCTAGACCAGCCCTTCTCAAAGTGTGGCCCAGTGGCTTCTTGGGGTCTCTAAAATGCTTTCAGAAGATGCGTGAGACCAAAACTATTCTCCTAATAGTATAAAAACACTATTTGCCTTTTCGGCTTTTATTCTGTTATGAGTGCACATTAGTTTTTCAGAGGCCATGAAAGGAATTTGTGCTTGTATACTATTGCATTTAAAATTTTCCTGTCTTAACTTCTAATATGGTAAATATTAATAGGCATGTCCAAAAACTTTTGGAAGTCCTCAGGAACTTGTAACAATGTAAAGCAGTCCTGAGACCAAAATGGCTGAGAGCTACTGTCCTGGACTTTGAAACCCTGTCTTGTGCCATTTTCAAGTCCTAATAACTGCAACCCTGTCTTGTGCCATTTTCAAGCATCCTGTTCTATTTTCACTTAGAAAGTAGAAGAAATTAGAAGACAACTGCTGCTTCACCTGTGGCCGTATAGTCTGTCTTCACTGCTGTGAAGCCGAATGGTGTGCTCTTATCCAAGGTTAACCCTCCACTGGTGCACCACATCCCGATCCCTCCTGCCCACTGCAGGAGTGGATCCAACGTTTTCTCCCCTCTCTCCAGCATGACCAGGGTCTCCTTCTCTATTGGATTATTTCCAGCATACAAACATGAAGTTATTTCACCTACTTTAAAAAACAGGCTTCTCTTTATCCACACTTTTTCTAGTTACTGCTCCAGTTTTCTTCTTCCTTTAGTAGCAAAATTCCATGAGAGATTTGCCTGCATTAACTCCATCGTAGTTCTTATGCTCACTTGACCCTAGATCAATCAGGTTTTTGTGGCCTGTTCTATTTCTTATGATGAGAACCATTGACCTCTACATTGGTAAACCTCGTAGCCAATTTCCAATCACGTATTACTTGACTAGTAGGCAGCATTTGAGATAATTAGTCCCCTGCTGGAAGTACTTTTTTCATTTGACCTTTGGTCTATCACATTATCCTGCTTTTCCTCCTCCTTACTGTCCATCCCCCTTGGTTTCTGTTGGTGTTTCTTTCCTCATGCCCCTACATATTGGAGTACTATAAAGTTTGGTCTTTTTTTTTTTTTTGGATACAAAGTCTTGCTCTGTTGCCCAGTCTGGAGTATAGTAGCATGATCTTTGCTCACTGCAACCTCCGTCTCCCGGGTTCAAGTGATTCTTCTGCCTCAGCCTCCAGAGTAACTGGGATTACAGATGTGTGCCACCACAGTTGACTAATTTTTATATTTTTAGTAGTGGTGGGGTTTCATCTTGTTGGCCAGGCTGGTCTTGAAC